TGCGTATCCCTTATCAGCGTATACAGACGCTTCATTCCACATACAGTTGGGATAAGTAGCTGTATATCAACTTTATTATATTAAGTAATGGCAAGATATAAAGCTCTTGTTACACTAGATCCTAAATTACGATCGATAAAGTCTTGTAGATAATAAAGATTAAAATAACAAAATAAAGATTTTATTCAAAAAGGATATTAGTATGCTTCTTCAGGTGTTATTTATAATCGTAGGTAATAGTGTTCTTCTTTAACAACATGAAAAACGATAGTCTAAGTTCCTTTTATTTCTACCTCGAAGTGAATATTGCCCTAATGACGCCAAAAATGTTAAACAAAACTTTAAAGCTGTTAAAATTTTGAAAATATTTATGTTAAACTTGTATTATTTATTATTAGGTAAAATAGGTAGTCCAAACTTTTGTAAAAAATAATAAGAAAGATTTGAAAAGTTTTTTTCTGTGTCTACTATGCTTACAAATAACATAATAATGTTTTTATCAAGTTAGCAATATTTGTGGTTGTATCTCATATGTGCAACTCATAGAAAACCCTTTGGAAACCGTACCGCCATGAAAGAGCAAATAACTCAACCATATTAAATAATAAATTATTGGACTGCTACCAACTATTCCCGAGCACTTTTCCTCTTCAATCCTGTAATATTAAGCAGTAATCTATTAACCCGTGAAACGAAACATCTGTTTTGTTGAATCATTGCCAAAAGTTGGGGATACCGGGATGCAGTCACTGTCAGTTAGAATTTCCAGTTCATTCATTACAAATTTCACAGTCTATGGAGTGATTTTAAAAGCGATTTCGAAGGCGATTTTAAGACCTTCAAACCTTCAAGAAAAGAGCGTACTCCTTCCTAAAAGACCGGCAACGCCTTTCATCATCATCATCATCATCATCAACAGCCTATACTAGTCCACTGCTGGACATAGGCCTCTCCTTGGAAAGGAGTTTTTGGCCTACTATACCACGCTGGCCAGACGGGTTGGTATAGGGTTTGTTTCAAGTTTTCCTTCTCTTTGCAGTGCTGTTGTCCTGCTTAGTTTGCTCCCTTAGTCGGCTCTTACGACACCCACGGGATGAATTGGGGTGGTGACAATTTGTATTCTTAATCCGACACCACGCGGACGCCTTTGTGACTTTGTGACTCCTTATTTGCAGACGTTCATGGGCGGCGATGGTCACTTTCCATCAGGTGACCCGTCTGCTCGTCTGCCCCGTCTAACATAATAATTAAAATAGTTTGAGCATAACTTTATGTAAATATTGTATGATTCATAAATTTGACACTACTTTTTACAGGTATGTACATTCCTCGTCCACTTTTTCGTATATTTTTTGTAAATAATGTATTTCATTAAAGTAGGTTGAGGTTCGTTAGTCATTTGAAATGATTAAAGCCAAAACGAGGCTAGCTATTTATTATAATTCGTTGTAATAAAAGCTAAATTAACAAAGTTTAGGAACACCACACTGTATTGCTTTAGTATCATTAATAGAGAAATAGCTACTACTACTAATAACTAATATTTGGGTGTTTTCAGGTAAGTCAATAGGTAGGTACGAATAAGAAAAAGGTTTTTTGCTAAAATGCTTGTTATTTTCAATAGCTTTTAAGAAGGAGTCACCAGACAGTAATATCCAAGAGGACATACAATTCTAACCAAACCATACATAGCCTCCACTCCGTCTTAACATACTTCTACAGGCTTAATATATATCTTTAAATAATTATTTTCTCTTGCTACTGTAAAAATACTACTATTTCCTCGTATACTTTGAACTGTTTGTCATTATGTCAGTAAAACAGTTTGTAACAACATATTCTTCACAAACTTAATAGAGCAAGGAGCCCATAAATTGGATGTAAGGTTGACGCGTTGAATTTATGTGTGACCGAGCGCCCGATTGAAATTGAAAACGCACCTGTACGAAAAAATATTTGCTAGCTACAAACTGATACTACCTAAGTAAGGGAAGACTTAAATTTGCCAAAATATATAACAATTGCCGTGATTTTCATTCATTCTTATCAGTTGAACCCATCAATCTTCTTCAGCAGCTACATATTATCATCACTGCTATTGACTACGACATTCTTATAATATAGGTATCTCCCTGTAGACATATTTTTTATTTTATTTTGTTTATTAAACGCATTACAATCAATGAAAACATAAATCATAATTACATCGTTTAGATCTGGATCGTAACGTAACTTACATGTGCACAAAGAAAAACAAAAGAATTTTTTTACAAAAATTATCCCTTATTCATAATACTGTAAGTAAGATAACTATAAGTAAAAAAGTAAGCAAGCAGCCAATATGATGCAGATCTGAATGCTGATGCAAACCCAAAATAAATGAATGTTTTATTCCAAACTGAGACCCTTTTCAAAACTGCACTGTTCCTATTAATTTGTTTCAAGAATATTTTAAGATATGGTCTGTATAGATATAGTATATTAAGAAAACCAAAGACCCACAAAAAAAGTAAGAAAGTCAGATCATTTGTGAAAACACAACACCAATTAATATTTTTTTAAATATACTTAATATTTCGGTACCCAAACTAATTTAATTAATTTAATTAAATTTGAAAAATACAACTTTATTTTCCTGTTTCAGATAGTTTGATAATATTAACAGTTAGAATTTAATAAAAGTCGCGTTTCATTATCTATGTAACAAGCATCGAGGGCTCTTCAAAATTTACCTTGGGCCGTACTACGAATATTGGTTCAATTACTGGCAAAACTTTGATCGCGCATCGAGGCTTATGATATTTTATCTTGTATATTTGAAATCCTTTTATATTGTAATGTTAGTACACCTATCAAGTTTGACCTGTCGTTTCTTTGAACTTACTGGGTTTATAACATACGCATTCCTTATTATATTATAGTTTCATTAACTGATATGTATTTAACAGAGCTATATACGAATTTTAGTATACGCAGCCGCCCTCGTTAGTTAAATTTATTGGATTTTTTTTCTTAGCAAGATATTTATTAATTTATAAAAATATTTATCATAGACAACGAAAAATAGCTTATTCAAATATTATTGAAATTAATTGGCGGCTAGTAAATGACGATTGCGTCTCTAAAGGATTTTAAGTATTTTGTTATTATTTGTACTTTTATAATAATTTACCGAAAGTTATTTAAGAATAGGCACTAATTAGTGTATAAGGCTGAATTACTTCTCGTAGTTTTGTGTATTTTGTCATTCACCCTTATTGATTCAAAAGAAGAGTCTTTCAAAAGACGAACGGTTAAACACCCAGGCGATTCGTTCAGAGTGTGAAAGAACAAATTGAATTAGTGTCGAGGCAAAAGTTCATTCGTGGATGTTGGATAGTATCCAACAAGCACAATTGGGGATTGCTAAATGGTGAGGCTTTGCGTTAGTGTCGGTTTATTGGCTCTAATTCAGTTTAGTGTCGTGAAAGGCAAAAGACTCGGTTAGGTATCAATTTAAATTATATACAAGCGATTTGCTTTATTTAGAACTTCTTAGAGGTCTTCTTCTTTAATTCTAATAGTGTGTTAGTTATTTATTTTTGTTTTGAAAAACCCACAATGTTTTGAAATAACTGCATTAAATAACTGAAACACTAAAATTGATGTACAAGTCAATGTTTTAAGACTCATATTAACATAAATATAATAGCGCAAGAATATAAACATACATTTATTTTAATTATTTGTTTAGTTTTATTTAAAACACGAGGGTCTGACTTTACAAAAAGGCGGCCTAGATTTTATTTGCGAATTAAACTTTTAAAAATATTGTTTTTTTTCTAGCTGAGAGCTATAAATGAGTGATATTTGTTACTGTCTCTTTGACATTTATTATTTTCGCTCAGTCTTTAAATATTGCAAGAATGAAAAAACAGTTACAGTGATAGTCATCCTTGTGTATTCACTAATAATATAAATGTAAACACAAAAACAGTGGTTTAAAGAAATGACGGTAACCGAATGGTATACATTGTTGATAAACCGAGGCTTTTCTTTAATTTTCTTTCAAAATTAAATAACACATTATCTACATGATAATTTTTATAATAGAGTATTTATATATCCTGGTGTAATGTGTATTTAAAGTTAATAATAAACAATTAAAATATTTATAATGTAGATTAAAGAATAATCTTAAATAATTCATAGATATTTAATACAAATGCCAACATGGTAAAGCATTAATTTACATTATGGTAAGTATTTAGTCACGTATTACCCAAAAAGACAGTCGCTCATTCACTTATTTTGTGTCACATCAAACTGAGAGGTCTTTATGCGATGTAAATTCACATAAATCAAAATATACGTTTGGGGTTTTGTTTACCATTTCTAAAATTGTGTATCTTAACCTATTCAAATCCTATGTCAAATTTAAGCGAAGCGGTGGCGGTACTCGGCAATAATTTCCGCTTATATCAATCCTGCCTCCTTTCCCAGCTGAGTGACGCCTTCCACCTCTGACACGCATTTGCTCACGTGGAATCGAATCAGAACCGCTTAGCTGCCTCCAGCAGAAACATGTTACCTATCTTTTAAAGGAAACCACTAATATTTATAGCATTTTAAAATTTTTGATACTTGAATTTAATAGTACTGGTTGTAGCGTTTACATGTTTCTTTGAGGTATTTCCTTCACTTCCCTTTCACTGGTGTGCACATAAGCTAGCTTATGTCCAAACCAGTGAAGCTCAGTACACTCTAACAAAAAAAATTCTTTGCAGTAAAGAAATAAGTGAAACTCAAAGTATATTTTTAAACTAAAGTAGTTACCAATTTAATTCCGTCGAAGTACAAAATAGAACAAAAATAGTAAAGTGAAATAAAGTTAAAAAAAATGTGTTAAATTTTTTGTGTGAGACAATGACTTTAGTGAAGACTGTCCGCGGTGTAGGACTGTTTTGGGTAGAAAGTGTGAACAATAAAACGATATGGGATGACTCATAGTGAAAAATGTTATGTGCAACCCACTATCCGATCCGAAGATGATGCACGAAATCCACGACAATGTTGTGGCAGGCGGAAGCGGCGCGATGGAGGAAAACGAGGCCGGCGGGAATGGGGGTGCAGAGGTCGATATGGACGATTGTGGCTCCCTCGCTTTACCTCCCGACCTGCCACCATACTCCGGGGACTACATCATCAGCGACTATATGGAACGTCTTGGTACACGGCTTAATATTCTCGAGACGGAGCTCAAATACGCCTGGCGGGCTCTAGATTTATTAAGTCAAGAATACGTTAGAATGTGGGAGCGACTTGAGAGATTGGAGACGTTACTTGCAGATCAACAGGGTGTAATATCAACATTACTCGACTTTTACACTTGTCGAACTGTCAACTCTAGAGACCCTATTACACGATTAGAAGTAATTGGAGAGATTTTAGGAAACGGCACAGTTGAAGATGGTATAGAAGAAGGCTTGGATATTGGAAGAAGTTCAATATTACTTATACCTCAGGACGAGGTAATGGAATCAAATGAAGCATTTTATAAGAGTTTGAACCAAGCTTATCGGGACGATCTTGTATACGATGAAACATCTAGACCACCATCACAGTTGGACATGATCTGGGAAGCTCCAGAAGAACCAGACATAGAAATTATGCCTACAAGCTCTAGACAAATGTACAGTTCTACGGATTATAAGCATTACTGTGGTATCAAAGGTGGACCTGAAAGGGAGAGAGATTTAGATCTGTCTTCTTTAAATACAATAGAGCAAATTACAGTAGATAAATTACATGAATTAGATAGATTGACCAATCAATTACACAAAGATTCCAGGGAGTTAAAAGACTTGAAAAGCAGGCTTCTAAGCCCTAACTCAAAAATAACAAAACATGACAGGGAAATAGAAGCTAAAGCATTGGTCGAAGATGGTCATATAATAAATGAACAACTAAAAGGTGTATACTCAGGGGGTGATAACTGGGCAATTAACGATATGATGAAAAGTTTTGATGATTTCATTCTGACAACACCTAAAGATGCTATAGTCAGAGAAAAATCTCCATCTAGATTATCACTCACAGATACTAGTACAGACAGAACAATAGATTATTTGCAACCCAGTCTTTCACCTCGCCGAAAGTTTGTGCCCGAAAGAACAACAACAGAGCCATATACAACTGTAACTGGTCGTCTAGCTTATAGTTCGGCTGTTGCAAATGCTGAGATAAATGCAGCTAAAGCATCCAAGTCACCTAGTGCACTATCAAGAGATCGATTTGAATATAATTCAACGTACCAAGTAACTGATACTTCCAGACAAATGTATTTTTCTAGCAAAGGCTTATCTCAGCCTTTAAATGAGATTTATAAATCAAGCTCTGAACAACATTCTCCCCTGTCAATTGATGAAATATATAACGGACCTAGCGCTAATGAGTTAATTTATGAGGAAAACAGACTTAGGCAATCTCCTAGTCCACCACCACCCGCACCACCAAATGGAACGAATGGCTTTCCTTCGATTGAAAATAACAACGAACTAGTTGTTCATCAACAAATGCTGTCAACCAGCAGTGTTTTACCACATGATGCTATGCGTCTGAGTCCCAGATCTCCAAAATCTCCAAAAACATCGCCTAAACGTTTAAAAAGAGATTCAGTAAACATAGTGGCTGCAAAATCTGATTCAGGATTGTCATCGATGAGTGGATGGTCAAGTTTGGAAAAAAGTCCAGGGTCCCCTAAGACAGGGAGAATCGCACATGGAAGTCACGACTCACATAAAATAAAAGTTCCTTCCTCGCCGCAATCTGTACAGAGAATAACTTACGAGCTCGATTCTAAGCCATATATAGAGACACTGGTCGATTCTTACCTTTATGAGGACAAAGATACAACGAGTGATTACAACTTAAGAAAAATTAATAATATGACAAAAGAAATCAGCTCTAGAGATCTCAGTAAACTGCAAGGAAAAGTCGATAACGATTATACGAAAAACGATATTCCGTATTCCTTAACTGATCAAATAACTCAAACAAGTAATATTGGAGAATATTATTATAGCAACGAAGCGCCTTCAATATATTCTGTAGCAGGAAACAGGCAGCCAATATTTACAACTGTATATTCAACTCCAAGAGGAATGTTATCTGAAGACAGAAGTTTTTCCGAATTATTAGATAGAAATGAAATTACCGAATCTGTTGCAAGGCCTGCAGTAGATTCATATCCTCCCGAACCCAGTTATCATGCTCAAACTGTTGTAATATCAGCAGCCAATATTACCAAACGTCCTCTAATTAGGGCTAATACAATGGGTGCAAATGATCCACACTTTTATCAAAATGGCTTTAAAGGAAATCGTTCTGGATACCCACCTCCTGGTAACCTAACAGATGCTCTTTCATATTACCCAACATCCAGTAGATACGATTCACCTAAGAGAGCATCTTTAGAAGATCAGCTTTCATGGCAAGGTGGCAATAGGTCCCCAACTAGCTCCATGGAAACATCGAGCCTAAAATCGCATTCGCTAAGTATAGCTGAAAGAAAACAATTTCAAAATCAACTTCAACAAGAATATTTTAAACAACAACAATATGACCAAAGAAACGGCAACGTAATGTATGAAAATGAAGAATACGAAAAACAAGCGATGCCAGAACATGCTAAAATAAGAAAGGAACAGTATGTAGATTCTAGTGGCATATTGGTATCTGAATCGGGATATTTATCCATTTCCAATAACTACAAAGGAAATAAACCGCAGGATAAGCAACCTAAAAAACCAAAACGTACTTCTTCCTTAAAGTCTGCTATGTCCTCCATGACTCACTGGTTACCCGATTTACACCTACCTAAGAAACATAGATCGCATTCACTACCTTCAGGCGTAGACACAGAAGAACCAGCGCAGCAAGAAAAGTCATTAAAAGAAAGGATTTTATCTGCACAGAGAAGGAAAAAGAAATATCATCTTGTAGCATCGATGTCAGGATTATTACAAAAAGCGAGAAGAAAACAACAAGCTAGTCATCAATCTCTATCAGATCCAGAGACCTCAGAAACTGAATGGTCTGGAGGTCGTTCCAGTGCTCAGTCAGAAGATAGTGACAGCGTATTTTCAGATAGTACTCATGAAAGTAATATGTTTGCAAAAGTAGCACCTAAAGCTAAAAGGAAGATTAACAATCAAGAAATAGTAGAACAACAACAAATGATACAGGAACGGATACAAGAACAAAGATTAGAAATCCGTGATGATAACTCTGAATGCATAATGGAAGAAAATGAAAAACTTACAATAAACACAGCTCTACCTCGAGACAAAAGTGATGATATAGATTTTCATTTTGCACGAGTTAGTCAGATGAAAAAAGATACCAACAATATACCGAAGTTAGAAAAATTGGACATTGATACAGATATATCAAACATCGATTTGTTTGAAGAAGATGAAAAAACTAATGACCAATCTCCTGGAGCCCTCTTTGCTACAATTGGTGATGTGAAAAAAGCAACCAATGTTTCTGACGATGGTTTGAGTGAGAGTAATAAATCCTATAGTGGCAGTTCACAAGAGTTTGCAGTATCTCGCGCCTTGGGAAAATATCGGCTTCGAAAATCAACATCAGTGTCTGATGAACATATTTCAGATACTTCACCTCCAAAATGTGAAATTGAACAGGAAGATATAAACGAAGAGTTTGAAGTTCAGAAAGAAAAGAAAATTCGTAAAGCAAGTACTCCTGAAATCATAAATTCTGTAACGGAAGAAATGAGTACTTTGCCAGAAAGAAGTCCATCTATTCAAAGTACTCGCGGACTGCCCAATAAATTTCAGCCGCGTCATCAACAAAGCTTAGAAATACCAAACAAACATGACGATGATGATAGCAGAAGTACACATTCTTGGAGAAGTGGTTCTCGAGTATCATCAAGAAGACAAAGTACTGAAGATAGTATTGATTCTGAAGATGAATGGTACTGTTATGAATTAAGAAAACTAGAAGAAATGGAGCATCAATCGCAACTAGAGGCAGAGAGACATCAAACATTGCCAGAAGAGCCAGAGTTTGAAGATATAGAAGAAGAAACAAATGATGATTTGAAGGACAAAATGTCATTTGTATTAAGAGAATTAAAACTAAAAACAGCTAATGCAAAGCAAAAGTATGATGAATCTCCAATAAAAGATACGTGGAAAGATATAACCACATTTCCTGTTATTGAGGAAACTGTTGATGATATCGAACAAAAAGAATCTTATGATGAAAAGTCGTTTGATGATTCTGGGTCTGGGGAAACATCAGGACCCGATAGTCCCGTGCAGAGTGGCGATGAACTTGATGAAGATTATGATATGCCGGAATTCCACCAAGAATTAACTCCTATTGAAGAACCTCCACCTCAACAGGATGCTCCAGTCGGCAGCAAGTGGAAACTCCTTAAAGCTCTGAAAGACAGAAAAGCAGAGGATAAAGCATCAGAGACACCTGCTGCTACAACGCCCTCCACTGAAAAAGATAAAGTCAGCGCAGGCGTAAGTTATCTTATGCAGAAATTTCATGAAATTAGAGTTAAGAGTTAAAGATAAGTTTTGTAGAAATATTTATTTATAAACCAAAATACATTCGGTTTCTTAAAAACTAATAGTTAGACTGATATACTCAAGCTATTGCTGCATTATATTATAACCTGCTTAACAACTCCTAGTAAAAAATATTAATAATTCGTACCATATGTTATAGTGTAGGATGTAGGACGTGTAATTGTTGTTTATAGTCGTCCATTTTAAACAACTTCTAGTGAACATTACTCAAAATTATTCTTAAACTACAATTACCTCAGTATTGAAGGTTTTACACTGCAATATTTTATTTAAAGAATATTTGATTAAAGTCCCTGAAAGAATTAAATGTGGTTGTGAGAAATATAACCATATTTCGTCACGTTTTTTGTCCTTTAATTATCCTGATATATTTATAGAATAGGGTGCTCTAAATACATTATAATACTTATATTATACGAGTACACATTTAGTTACTATGGACGCTCCTTCTATTTAATTGAGGCAATAACTAGGTATAACCAACGCAATAGGGTACTAAAAACTTTTTAAATATAATATGTATACATATATAATATTTAAAATAAAGATTTTTTACATAAAGTATATTTAACACACAATACTCAACCAAACAAAAATATACAATACTTTTAAGAAGATCTGCTTAGTGAAATTTATATTTAAAAATGGTAATCTTGATGTTACTATGCATTCAGTATTATAAATGTGTTTGATGCTTGATAGATATTGTTTATTGATGTTAGTACTCTAATGAATTTTCTGTCTATATACATATGTAACTAAAAACTAATCAAAGACGCTTGGGAAGCATTTTGTCGTACAAAATCCATTCATCACCATATCATCTCATATCAGTAAAAATGTTCTATTTATTTTCATTATATCGATTTAAGAAAATATATTCGTTCATAAATTACCTAATCATAATCTCTAGAAACATAAAAACTACATTTCAATTGCATCGTTATACACAACAAATACAATTTGTGTGTAACATAATTGTATTTGAAGAAATTTGAATTAATTTATATTTTAAATAGACAATTTCCGGCATTCGAATAAATTCATCTTCTTGATTGAAACAATACACCAATATAGACACTTTAGAAATTCAAGTAGAATTCATCAATCAATTACTGTTCGTTTTAAATGTCACTGTTATAAATTTATGCGATAATGTTATACGTATAATAGGCTAAAAAATACATTAATGTATTTAATTAGATATCACATGGCTTAGATGATCGTATAGCTATTTACACTTACATAAAAATATAGCTGGCACTTTATATAATAACATATTTAGCGACAAGTTTAGACGATGAATAATATTTCTTAGAATTATAACAGAAGAGCCAGTACAGTTTATTTGATTTATTAACTATTACTTTGGATGGGTTAATGTTTACAAAAATATTATCTACCGATCTGTTAGACTTAGTATATATTTATATCGTATTTCTGAAATTAAAATAGTACCACCTAATTCTACCCAAATATTGTTACCATGTTATTAATTGTGTTTTAATTAAATATAATTATTAATTCTCCATGAAAGTAAAATTTGTTACAATATTTTTTATCGAAATAACTATAATTGTTTGTGACAAACAATGTGCTTGACAAGATGAACTAAAAATATTACAAAAATGAATGTATGTGTTACTTAAGTTTTAACTTGTGTTTTGTCACAAAAAATTAATAGAATATAATTCCTTGTTGAATGTTATTAATTTTATACTAATAAAATTTAGAGTTTTATTTTTGTTTTTATTTTATTTTACTAATTGTTTGTATTTTTTTTTTGTTTTTAGAATGGGTCCGGTGGATTTAGCGAACAAGGAGGCCGAGGAAATGGGTATGTGAAAAAGTTAAAATGGAACTTATTGAACTGTCACTTTTTTCAATAAATTAATTTATTTGTCAATGTTTATTCTGATTATAAATTTACCTGAATAAAAAGTATTACTGATTTCTTGATTATTTATTTTGTGAAATGGGTTTTAGGCATCCCGGTGATAACCCCTTCTACAGCAATATCGACAGCATGCCAGACATCAGGCCCAGGAGGAAATCGATACCGCTCGTCTCGGAACTTGTAAGTAGCGTTTTAATTTTTTTTTATCGTCATAAACTTATCTATTATTATGATCCGATGAAAGTTAGCTATTTTTCTCTCGGGCCGGTTTCAATTCGCTATCTTAATATTCATGCATAATAAGTATTTTCAAAAGGGCTATCTCAGGTATAATAAGCCTTTATCAGTTTTCAGGGTTATGGAAGGTAGATATTTGAAACTGGTCGTAAATGTTTACAGCTCGCATCGACGTACGCTTCCTGAAGCTTAGTAATTTTAGGCGCGTAATAAATGTTTTCTTCTACACGGAAAATTTCTATATTGTGTGTTTTGAACAATTTTTGGGGAGACTTAAAATATTTAAATGGAATTATATACTACTGAATATTTTTGGAATATTCAGAACACATTAAATAAAAAAACATGCAGAATTACTATTTTAATTCCTTTCTCCCCATCTGTTGTCCAAATAAAAGAAAACTTGATGAATTAAAGGCCTACTTGATCCCTTCTCTCTTCATTGATGTTTTAATGTTACCTGTATTGTGTTTTTCCTTCTGATCGTTACTACTTAGATGGCCTTTATCCTATACTTAGTTATCAGTCCAATCCTCATCGTACCGTGTAAAAGATAAACTAGGGGTCACCGGAGCAAAACTAATGTAGCGAAACCATAGTCACCGAATGATCAAATCTTTATTCCTGATAAAAATTAATGATATCATTGCATTTTATCCCCTAACCATGGACCCGCAGGTTCTCAAGGTATTTCTATCCCAATAACACTTCTTTTTCTATGCATGCAATACTAATTGACAGTGAAAAGAAAAAAATATAGTCAAGCGATGTTTTTCTCTTTTCACTTACTTACTGTACATAGTTTGCTTGCATTATAACTTTTTGTGCCATTGCATGTTTATGCTTTGAAATAAAATTTCAGATGTCGGTTAAGTATAAAAGGTGAAAATTAATTATTTTATGTAAATCCTACGATCGCATAAGACCGCCACAGTATCACGTTATACCTACAACAAATATTAATTTGATTCCACACTCGGAACATGCACGTGCTTGCCAATTTCGTTTATTTCGAAGCTTCAATATCACAGCAAATATATATTTTATGACTTAAATGTCTTTTTTACCACAACATTAATTAACAAAAGTCCTCAAATAAACATTTTCAGTGTTGTGCTGACTCACATAAACACACTTTTTACTTACACGTTTCACGCACTTCACCATTTATTACTTTTTTTGACGAAATTTAATCAACAGAAAATCAGAAAAGTACCACGTTTATGGTATTGTAGATCTGATACTGTTGTTAAGGACAAGCTTGAAAAGCAGCTTATAAAAGCATGAGTAGTTCCAAACTTGCAAATAATCTCAAATAATTTTCAGTCATAGAAACATATTGCAATTTCAAAATAAAGTAGGTAGGCAATTTCAATTAATAGCTTCGTTAGAAAATAGCAGATTAAAGACTCAGTCTCATTTACATACTGAGGATATAAAAAAAGAAAATTTCCTAGGCTAATGTATGTTTAACTGTTTAGACCATGGCGGCAGGAATGGCGAAGCGAAATGCAGGTTTAGCATCGGCTGTGCACCGGGCCACGTTGAACGATGAGGAACTGGTAAGTCTGTTGACGATTTAACACTTATGTTAGATATAACAACAACTATTTAAATTATAAATGTTATTACCGATATTTTTAGGTAGCTAATGACTGTAAAAAATGTTGTTCTAATGATGATCAGATGATTTTCAATGAAAAGTTACGCTCTAAATGTATGTTATTTTTTTTTATATTTATATATTCTTTCTTTCATCAAAACTAAAGAAGGAACAATTTCATTGAATTGATTGGTTTAATTGACCCAAAGTTCGTGCACGAAAAAATGACAAATTTATAACACAGATCTAAAGTTAATACCTCTAGAAGAAAATGTTAATGTATGTTACGTTTAACTTGCATGGCTGTAAATAACGATTATAAACTTATGTTGACCTCTAAAAAAAGTTTATTTGTAAAATGAAGATTCCAATTTATATAGAAATTAACATTTTAAAAGATCAGTACTTAGTCAATACCCTAAAAGTAATTATCTATATTGACAGATTGGTCTAATTCATACACTTTCCTTACTTTGATTTAAAGCTGAAAGTTTCCTTTCAGAAAATGCACGTTTACAAGAAGACCTTGCAAGCACTTATATATCCAATATCTTCAACGACGCCCCATAATTTCGTTCTATGGACTGCAACATCCCCCACTTATTGTTACGAGTGCGAGGGGCTTTTATGGGGAATTGCAAGGCAAGGTGTCAGGTGCACAGAATGTGGGGTCAAATGCCATGAAAAATGCAAAGATTTGCTCAATGCTGATTGTCTACAGAGTAAGTGGCGCACTGTGATGGTATATTACTACGCAATTAAAGGAATTTGTTCCATCAACCCAAATATCAGCCAATAATATATTATTGTGGCCTAACAGAAAATGACATTTAATTCACTCAAAATTATCTGTGTAATTGAATGGACCTAGTTCCTCTCCCAACAGAACTATTATTTCAATCTTAGTAAATTACAGAAGCAAGAGATGAAAAAATCACTGGAAAATTGCAATGAAATACTCTTACTTTTGTTAATTTTGAATGAAAATATCATTAATAAAAAATGTGTTTTGAGAACAAAGTTCGTCAATTGAAGTCCTAAATCTTAAGGAGCATCATTTCAATGTTTTAATTCAACTTGAAATGTTTAGTTTTATAGCCTTGACTTAGAAGCGCAGTTCGCTCCTTATTAAACTCAAGTGAGTCAAGACGCACTTGACTTGTCACTCGTTGTAGACAAGATCTTTGGACATACAAGTGTCGCTGATAAAAATCAATATTTAATGCACAACCTGGTTGTTCTTCTCGTTCTTGTAAAATATTGTGTTATTTAATAATAGCCTTAACCTTTTCATCTAATACTGAAGACGTTTATTTTCATCATGTTGCCTTGGATCGTTCTGTGTAGAAATCAGGAAGGGGATGAAACTATACTCTTTATATAGTCTCTCTATATATAAATACGATAAATTTTCAATGAAATTATTATTATTTGTAAAATATACAAGACTTGTTCAAAAGCAGTTGACTTGTTCTTTGACTTTAAATTACTGTTAATAGATGAAAAGATTATTACCTTGTACGCTGATTACTATGAAATTATGCTCTTTACTAATGTGTATTAATTAAGTTTATATTAGATTTTACCTAATTCGTTAGATTTTGTCATCTAGGTGATATCTATATGGAAAGGTAATAAATGATTCAAAATCAAAAATGTCATCGTAGTCAGTCTTCCTGTCATTATTAGAACGGTTGATGTGCATGTATACATCTTTGCATGAATCGGTCGTATCGTCAGGATTCAAACATTATTCACCACTGAGGACACAATTAGGATCATTGATTGAAACACCACTAGCGACATCACCAGGCTCACACAGTTGAAGGAATAATTCATTTTAATAAGATTGTTATCGTTGTGGTGACTTTATTTATGTGATATTTATTTTTCCTTTCCTTTTTCTCTATATTTACTCTGACCTCATATAATAATGAGCATGATATATTTCCCTTCCCCATAACTGGTTTGACCATCGCTTTATCGGTGTGCATGGCTATCGGTACTATACAAAATTATTATTATATTCAAAATTTTATTATTCCTGTATTATTCGGTTCTAGTCAAACATTTGCACGATCATGTAGGCGAGCAGTCGTTAGGTGTTTTTTCGCGTGATACATATTTAAATTTTGAAATCATTGACTGCACGCCATAATCATTCTTAGTCTACACTTTGAAATTATAACTTTTAGGTTCTTTAAATTTAATCTTATTTTCCTTTTATTGTCAACAATTTCTTTCAACTGGTTTAATTTAACTGTACTATGCTTTCATACTTTATTTTAGTTTACTGATATTTGATGTAAGTATATTTTCTTAAATATGCGATATTGTTTTTTTATTATTTTAACAAAGAGTGTGAGGCTTTTTTTATTATAAGTTTTGTTGTAGTAAACCAAAACCATTTTGGTATAAGATATTTTCGAAGTGTGGACAATTAGATCACGTAGATAGGGTTTCGGTCCTGTCATCCATATGTTCCTTCCGGGTTGCCCCGCCCAGCGCCGAAATTTATTGAAGCCCTATTTAATTGAATTGTGTATGTTTTCTGTACCCCACTTTACATCCTACACTATCTTACACATCGTTTCTTTAAACTGGTCTAAAAGCTTCAGCAACACAATTGTCAAAATAAATCCAACAGTTTTCACGTGTTGTAAAGATGTGCCTGTTAGCAATGTGTGCACGCAATCCAGTGTCTGTCCACTTCTATATTATATGTGGTCCTATTGTTTTATTATTTTAAACGTTTTAATTCATAGATATCCACATTTCTGTATTTATTTGTCTTTGTTTATGTTTCCACTTTTCGACCCCAGATGACTTTTAATCTGAAATTGATATAATTGAAATTGCATATTTAACGAAATATAGCAGTTAAGCTTCTTTTTGATGAAATGGTAACTTAAAGTACAAACTATACTAACTACTACAAACTAATACAGAGGGTTTTTAGTCAGCAATACAATTTTGACGCTGTCAATACTTGGCAGATTGTTGATACATGGACTAATATTAATAAACTGCTAATAAATTGTAAATTGATTTCATGCGTTGAATTGTATTGAGTTTGCTTAACAGGCGCCGTGCTCAGATCCGCTCCGACCTGCGCCGCTCGACGTCAATGACCTGATCAGATCTGGCGGTATTTACTCCTCACACTATTTTACTTCTAAGTTAGCATCTAATCAGGTTTAGGCCAAGAGTGGTCGTAGCGGGTGTGGGCGCGGGGCGGGGGGCCATCCCGGCGCAACCCGCGACTGACGAGAACTAGGTTGGCACCGCCTGATCAGTGTGTTTCGCAGGAGCGGCGGAAAAGTCTTCTAAACATGGCGCTGAAGATAAAGCTAATTCAATCATCACAGCTATGAAAGAAAGAATGAAACAGAGGGAACGAGACAAACCGGAAATTTTTGAACTCATCAGGTAATAACACTTCTAAATTTGGATGAAGATTATATGCGTCCATTTAGTATTTTGTTCAGTGATTTGCGTTTAATGCCTTGGATTAACAGGTATATGTTTTCAATATTAACCTTTACTACTATTCACGAAGCAAATAGCATTTTTGGTTAAAACTAATGTACCTAGCACTCTATTACTAAGCTGTTTCTAGAGAGAAGTTGTTTTTTACACCAATCACCAAAACAAAATAATCTATTAACTCTAAATTATTTCTCTAAAATTATCCATCGCTGACACGAATGTGTATGTAACAGACGCGTGTTCAGCATCGATGAAGATCCACACTCAGCGCACATGAGCACAGTGAAGCAATCAGTCCTCGATGGCACATCAAAATGGAGCGCCAAGATCGCCATCACAGGTTCGATGACGTACAGTGGTATTAACTGTTCCTATTTTAGGATCTAGGATGCAGCGAACGAGAGTCAACACCAAAAAGGCAACAGTCAACACTACACAAAGACAACACTAAATTGTTTTCCATCTTTCGTTTCATGTGGCGGCCAGGCGGACTTTTAACGTCGACCCAGACACACACATTGACAGTCTAGAACAGGCCAAGCAAGTCACTATAGAAGGAACATCAAAGTGGTCTTGCAAGATCGCCATTACAGGTTTGCGGTGGTCTTTTGCGGCTACGAACCGCACGCTCGCAGTTTTGATACTATTAGACAGACTCTCTTTGCCTCAATTCTTTTCCCTTGTTTTTGATATCTGCTTAAAAGATTTTTATTTTCGTAATATGCATAGAAGTATTGCGGAAAAAATATACGCTATGTTAGAAAGTAAATGCTTATAATATAACAATAGCAATTAGCAGATATCAAAAATTGTAATGCAAAAATTACTTCAAATACTAACCAAGAATCACGGTCGTTAATGCACCGCCTCTAATCACTTCCATCGATTAAAAAAACGTAGTTTGATTCAATCATTAACACTCAGGAAATTCCACGAATCTAACAAATCACTCAACTCTGTAACATAGTAATTAAAACTCAATGATTTCACGCACACACTTTTTAACACTACCTAAATACAACTCTACTATGATTGTAAGACCACAACACGGCAGCACGTCTGCTAAATTAACACAAAATGCATGGGAATCACAAATTGCCACTAAATATTGCAATTGTGAGAGGCTTATAAAAGCCGTTTTTTTCACATGCATTATTACGGCATCACATTACAAACACTTATCCGTTTAATTTTCAGTATGACGACGATACATACATATACTTCAGTAGTCGTGAATGAAATTCTTAGAAGGAATAAAAGCATGTCGAATGAAGGACCCCAATTATCCTGAATTTTCTACCTCTCTACTGTTACTGTCAATAACTTTTCGATTCGTGAAAATTCCAATACCATTAGCCTTGATTCCCGCGCATATCTTATACTTCTTCTTTGAAACTTTCTTCTTGGTCGAAGTTTGCATTAGCAGTTGCGATAATGTAGGCGCTATGTTCAAGTTGTTTTAGAAATCAAATTTGGGATCATAGATAAAAAGTTCGGTAGTTTCAAGCTAGTGTCTTCTTCTTTGACCCCCAACCCGTTCTGATCACACAAAAACTTGTTCATAGATTTGCAAAAGGTTGCTAGCACTGAATGCCTTATTTGGTAAGTAAGGTAGTGAGGAGTAAAATGCGGTGAGTATGCTATTTAGTGTAAGCTGTTTCAACTTTATTTTAATAAGGTGGATACTGAATCCGACTATACAATATTATGAAAAAATTCAATCATTTAAAATAGTCGTAAACGTAAACATCTCATAGTAGTCATCACCGAGTACATAAAGTACTTTTAGACAACGGCTATTGTAATTCATTCCATCGTACCTAAAGGTTTTCGAATTAGAGCTTTGTTTTTTGGAAGTAAACATTTTGACGACAAAAATCTTGTTTCTGACATCCTTCAGAAAACTTGCTTTAAAAGTAAATTATTGTGAATTTCTTTTTCTGTGCACAAATTCCTATAATGAATAAATAAAAAATACTAACATGGCCCTCCGTGGGCAGTTATCTGTGCTCAAGGGCTCATCGCAAAGGATAAGAGCGGAACTTCCGACCCCTACGTTACTGTCCAAGTCAGCAAAGTCAAAAAGCGAACAAGAACTATGCCTCAGGAATTAAATCCAGTGTGGAATGAAAAGTTTTACTTGTGAGTATATTTTATATCAATCTCTCAATCAATCAATCTAAAAAACATCAATCTACATATACTTCTACTAACTCAGTTTAATACAATTTTTACACTGTATTATCGTGTCGATGGCGTCACTATATGGTTTTGGCCCAGTGCTCGGCGACGCGAATATCGTTAGGCCTTGCTTTTGTTTTTTTTTTTTTTTTTTTCTTTATTAAACATTTATAATACATACTTTTTCATGCTTAAAGTCTGCCAAACTGTAAAAACAGTTTGTCGGCAGACAGCTTGATACAGGTCGTCACTGTAAAGAAAATTAATAATTAATTTTAAATGAGTTACATTTTCACAGTGAGTGCCACAACTCATCTGACCGTATAAAAGTGAGAGTATGGGATGAAGACAACGACCTAAAATCAAAACTTCGACAGAAATTGACAAGAGAATCTGACGACTTCTTGGGACAGACAATAATTGAGGTAAGTTAACTACTTATGTTGTGTACATAACATAATATAATGGTGTTCGTTTTTACCGCTGCGTTTAACGTAATCCCTATACGTTGTTAACTTACTCAGGTAAACTCACTACACAAATTTGTGTTATCATATTCGTCATCAAATAATTTATCTTTTTATTCCTTAAGACAGTTATTTGTATCTTTTTTATAAGATTTATTCGATTTATTATTATTTATACAAAATTCATTTTATTCGAAATGACTTCACGAATAAGATTAAGCGCTATCAATTAATATCTAATATTTCAGTAATTGGATTGTTTACTCGAGTAATGTAATGTTTGTAATTTGAGTAATGTAAGAGTTTGGTAATTTTTTTAGTTTGAGGTGATAAGTTAAACAGAATTCCAAAACATCAATGCACAATATATTATAAGGATAGGATTCTTTTTTATGGTTTTAAGATACAATTCAATCTTAGTTATACTTTATTCTGCCATCAATTCGTTCATAAGATTTTTTTTAAATGATGCTATTGCTTTAGGTCCGGACCCTGTCGGGTGAGATGGATGTTTGGTATAATCTGGAGAAGAGGACGGACAAGTCAGCTGTTTCAGGAGCCATCAGACTGCACATTAACGTTGAGATCAAGGGTGAAGAGAAGGTGGCGCCTTATCACGTCCAGGTTAGTGAAATTTTTGTTATAAACAATATATTTCATCTTGAAGTCATTTAAATGTATAATCTGTTTAAGTTAATAAGAGTCGAGTAATTTACTACTGAAACTGCTTTTTTGTGATCTCAACAAACTCGTTTTTTGTAAGGTTCACCTTTTTACAGTATGGTACTACTCGTAATTCAAATACTTATTACTTATACTTATTACGTATAAAACACAAAATGAATTTCTGGTTTATAAAACGAGAAGTAACTTAGAAAAAATGATTACTGACATTGCAGGAGAGCTTAAGACTATCCATGCTTTGATAGAAACATTTTAATGGGGTTCTAATGTAGCTGTATTTTATTATAACCTATTTTACTGTTACTTCCTTACTTTTATGTTTTGTGAATGTCATTTTCCAATTCACATGATAAGTCAACAGGTTGAACGCAGTATTGGCATGATGCCCCTTGGACGAAAGCCAGCTCCGTTAGTAATTACTTGTTACTTAACTATCAACTTGACAAATTAATTGGATATTGCTTTACAATCATTAGTCGGTTTTCTAATATTTAATTTCTGTTGTAATATTTGAAAATTGGACGCAATTTAAAGTTTTTAGATGTTAAAATAAAAATATTAAATTATGTAGTGTAAGATTTTGTAATATTTAATGAGAAAATTGTTTGACTGTGACTAATTAATTTTAATACTTTAAAATGTAATGACTCCAATTTCCTACAAGTTGAAAATTACTGACAAAATTCTTGCCCAGCTTACAAAGAATAAACAACACCTTAATTTTTATATATTCTTTACCATTAGTTACATGCTTAAAATAAAAGTATGTTTAGCTTGGAAAAAAAATAATTTAACCTTAGGTACATTCTAAATTCGATACTAGGTGGTGTCTTATCTTACATATATATGAGTTGAAGTTTTTATTCTTCACTTTGATAGATGTATTTATTATATATATATATATATTAATTCACTATATATATATATATTAACCAAACATGTTGAATATTAAGTATTGAAAGAAAAGTAAGTTAAACATGGGTAAATTAAGTTAAAATAAGTCGTCAATATAATAAAACTCTGTAATAATCTTCCGTTATTTAGATTATAAAGATATATTTTTAACAGGCTTATAAGATTAATCAATCAAAGATTTTTAAAATGAATGTTGATATTACAGTTTTCAATGAGCGAGTATTTGTTTTGAGTTTCCTTGATATATTTAATTAGTAAACCACATTAAAATGTAAGATGGTTTCACTTGCGTATTACCGTTTCACCTCTCAAAATATATGTCAAGTGGGTAATAATTTTATCTATTACGGACATTGAATGAAAATTCGCTGTATATAAAGATTTACATTGAAACTCGTTAGACCGGATCAAGCCATAATTTAATACAAGAAGAGAGTGAAAAGGTTAGTGATAAATATCAAAGGAAGCTTTAGGTACATGAATAAATTAGTATTTATCTATAGAAATCGTTTTATCAAGAGGTAAAATATCTCAGTAATATTCAAAGGATTTCGTTCGGCCTTGAAATAAAAATTATACAATGTCGAAGTAATGGGTCGGGAATACATACATTTTCACAGAAACTTTGGGTTGGTATTTATAATTCAGGAATATTAACGGAATAAATTAACAAAACATCGCTATGTAATGGCTTTGTATCTCACAATGCATTATTAAAACTTAATGTAACATATATATTTATATCAACCTAGCTGTACCCTTCCACAGTTTTCTGCGGCAAAATGTGGTTGCAGTGATGAGAAACAATGAATAAAACTGACGGGGAAAATAGATTAAACAATCTGTCTAGACTGCACGGATGGCGAAGTGGTTTAATCAATCGCTACTCCACTTACTACTAAGCTGAGTGTTATGGGTTTGATTCGGTTTCCCCCATGAGACGACACTTTGTATAATCCACAAATTGTTGTTCTGAGTCTGGGTGTTCCTTGTGTCCATTTCATGTATTTTTGTAAAGTCCCCCGCGACACAGGATTCGGATTCCTAATGCGTTGTCTTATGAAAAAATAATAAAAAAGGGATTATTTCATTTGAAATCCGGGGTACTTAAATCTAAATTTTGATGATCAATGTAAATTATTTACTTATAGCCCTTTACAGTACAGACACATCGTTTGTTCTAACTTTTACCTGGCTTATTTATTTATTTTATATTTTTAACTTTTTGCACAAGTACATGCGGACTTAATGCCTAAGGCATTCTCTGCCAGTCGACCGATTGGGCGGTTATGTTCCTGCATACTATAAGCTTAGCGCAAAAAATGCTGACAAGAGAATCACTAGACTGTGAAAAATATCACAGTCAATTTGATTTGATTAGTCGAGAAAGCTCTCTTGGGAACTACAAGATGACATAATTCTGCGAAGTTTTCGTTAATAATTTGTGAACCTTTCAAATTTCAATCACTGATAATAATAAGACAATGTAATGTCAAGAAGTTCGAAACTGATGTCAATATAACGTGCTTTAATAATATTATTGGATGACAACAATTGGAAGGCGTCAATTTTATAATAGAGGAAATTACAAAGCTTTGTTTTATCAGATAATAATAAATTATTTATAAGTTAAGTATACAGAATATAACTTTGATTATCCAATATTAACTCTCAACTTTAACTAATTAACTAAAAGCTAGACGAGTCCAGTGTTCTCATTAGGGTTTTCAATGTGTTTTGGTAGAGTATTTTTTATTAATTCAAGATGCAAATAAATGAGTCAAAAATATTGTGCACCGTGCATGTAAAAAAGTGAAAACAAAGTTTTATTGGTGACAACACTAACAAAAATTAGTGTTCACTTTTTTAGTTTTAGTTCACTTTCCCCCAAAAATATGATAACAAGATTTGTTCGAGCACGATGACTACAAAAGTAGTTGATGTCGGTAGCATTAAAATAGTAAGAAAAATTAACAGAACAGAGCACTCTGACAAAACATTCTCATAACACCGTCACCCGGTAAGATAGATTTTTTTATGGAGGGTCAAACGAGCAGACATGTTACCTGATGGAAAGTACTCGTCGAAAAATCACATTAGAAAATATGACTAAATAAAACAAGAGAATTATCACATCTTATATATTTAATATCTCTATATCCTAAGAAATTTATTTAAGCAAACCTCGATTTTATATCGGGATAAGAAAACTGTAATAGGCATATTTAATAAAAATATAAAGTGTTGTGTTAAAGACATTTGATACTATGTATACACTTCTTTCAAAACAGGCCCTCGATTTCATTGAATTATAATTTAACGAGACTATTTATTATTTTAAAAAAATAGTTAAAAGGGCTTACAACAAAAGTTTTTAATAGGTTATCTGCACCCACCGAGTTTTAGTATACTAATCTACTATACTAATATTACTATACTAATCTATTAATTTTCTGAGACACTAACAATGAAATTAAATCCCAAAAGTAATTCAGTGTTTAAGTTTCTGTCTTTTTCAATTATTATCTGAAATAAATTTTTAATCGCCATACAGAAGAGGTAAATGAAAGCAAGCGCTCAAATTAAAGGATTCTGCAATAAATTAGCTTTAATGTATTTGCTTAAAATAATGGTCCTCCAATAAACGAATTCACTAGGAACTCGCAACTCGATATCTTTTGAGACCCTTTTAATACCTACTGTAATTTATTCACCGTACTTCCCGATAATTTAATATAACGATTTATTTTCTGTTACATCTTATTCGGTGTAACAATTTCTTGTATATTTAGAATACAATCTAAATATCGCTGGAAGATTTCACTATCTCAATCCGAAGGTTTTGTTCAGGGTGTGGGAGTGGTAGTTTCATTGATTTGCTCCATAAAAAACTCAGTAACAATTTGTTCGACAACATTTTTTTCTCAGAATTTACGTGAAGATGTCTTTAAGAGTATTTTTAAATAGTAGAATATTCATCCGACCCCTTCACAAGAAGTGTAATAATTATTAATTACGAAGCATAAACGCCAACATATGCCACAGGAACGACTTCATGGCCTTAATTATATTACATTTGTGAAGTTTTTAATAACGCTGTAGTATTTCTTGGTACGAAATGTTTCTTTTATAGGACTTATTAAATTTATTAATTTAGTACTCCTCACTGTTACTACCATAACAAGTTTATATATTTTTATAAGAATATATTTATAAATTGTTCTTCTAAGCTATCTTTGAGTTCCTCTGGTTAAACCACTCTTGACTAAATTTATTTAAAAGGTTACATTAAAGGTGTTTATTTTGTAAGTATAAAAAAACAGTGTTTAAAGAACGTGTATATTTTTATCTATACAGAAAAGGCAATTAGGAAAGTGTATGGACGACTTTTTTAATTTATTTGAAGTTTTAAGTATGTGAAACTAGCTAGGTTTAGTCGATTTACAACTCTATAAATCTCTCTCTCGGCCAATTTTACTGTTCGTAGCGACTAAATATTTTATCAACGTTAAAAATTTCAATTGGGGCTAGTAAAAAAAAAATTAACAAAATTAGTATGTAACGCGATAAATGGTATTTACTGAGAGATTTTCGTAGCAATGCGCTACGTGTACATTATAAAAGAGAAACTTTAAATAAAACGTATGCAGAAAGTTAGTCAGTCTCGCTATATGCCCTCACTAAATTTAGGTCCCTGGTAATGTGCAAATATAATAATTCATCAAAAACCTGTCTTGTGAGCGCACTGAACGTATTACTAAGTTTCTGTTTCAACTTTTTGCTTCCTGTCGTTTTAAATTTTATCAAAATATCGAAAAACTAAATATTTGTACAGAATGTGCTTTAGAAGTCGTTAACAACAAAGTTATGGTCTGACGTTGAATATTAATATTGAGTTTTATGCAAAACTTCCAGTTTATTTTAGACTAAATATCGGTTATAATTTATGCTGGATAAAAAGATAAATTGATGTTATAAAAATGGCTAATTAATAGCAACATTGCCATAATCATATGATCGTAAGC